TAAGCCAACTGATTTTCATCTTAAAAGGCTTCAAGGAGATCACCTTGTGAACTCGAGCATAGAAACGGTCCCATCATCAACGTCATATGCAGCCCAGACTTGGTCATCTTCAAAAGAACTTTCACTTCGATCCAAGTCGAAAGTATGAAAATCAGAATCTGGAACATTTATAGACAATGGCACAGTTCCTCCATCAGATTCGTCAGGAGAAGAGGTAGACATTGGCTGCCTGCCTTGATGATCTTTATTGGTATCACATCCATCTCCATTTGCCATGCTCCTCTGTTTCTTATTCTCTTTCTCTCTGACCTTCCCTTTAACTTTGTAACCATTTTTGGCTTCAGTTACAGAGCTCCAGGCCTTAGGCTTTTCACGAACCACACCCAGAGCCTTATCCATCAGCATGTTACGAACTTCAAGCGATGACAATTCTCTCTCACTCATGTTCCTGTTATAATTACCAGAATACCCATAGGTGCCTCCCATTCGAAAAATATTCCTAGATTCAGACGTGTTTCCCAAGCCAGGTCCATTTCCCATGGGCATTTGAGTTGCCATATTACCTGCATAACCATTAACATAATTGTCTTCTTTTCTCTTTTTCACGAGTCTCTCCGCTTTAAGAACTTCTTCACATCTCTTTTCAATTTCTCTTGAGCCAATCTATCACTTTGAGATCTAGAATAATTTGTTCCATGGTTAAATTGATTATTATTCACACCATGATGCCCAGAAGCCTGCTGTTGGTTAGACCGATTTGATGACTGATAAACATTTGAAGGCACCTTTTCTAAAGCCAAGAAGGCCACTCGACAATTAGGGCAAAGAAGTGTGTGGTTCAAGTACACCCTGAGGTATTCATACTGTGTCTTGCATCTATCGCAAACAGTCCAAAAGGTGGCAGGTCTTTTATTAGGAGGAAATGAGTTTTGACCTACCTCGCTATTGTTGTTCTTAGTCCTAGCATTTGACGCTACATTAGAACTAGATCTATGAGAGCCATTTGTTCTGGGTGGCATTGATGAAACTCCACTCTGTGAATGAAACTTCTGTTGGTTTCCCCTGGAATTTATCCTCTGGTTATAAGCCAACCTCTTAGCATGATCTGATAACAAGCTCCAGGCCTCTGAAACAATCTTAAAAGCACCATCAGCACCTACAAACTTGTTTTTATCAGGGTGAATCATCAGCGCCAGCTTCCTGTATTGTTTTCTCACCATATCATCATCCGCCAATGGGCTTACGCCAAGAACACCATACCAATCAGCTTCCCAACCTACTTTATTCTCTGCAGAAATATACACATCAAGAGTTGTCAACATCTGGGGAATACCATCAAGGCCAGGAAACAAGTTTTGATACTTCAAAGCAAATTTTTTAGCTCCAGCATAATCCTTGTCCTTTAATTTCCTTTCAGCAATTTCTTTTGCCCTAAATGCCTCATCTTTGTTACACTCCATGATTTCAGACCGACTTTAATATAGCACCTAGGTATTATGAATATAGCACAAGTACAACCAAAAGCCACAATTCGCAGCTTAAAGCTCTTTCATGCCTTAAGACACAGGTCACAGCTCCAAGTAATTGATGCCTGATCCAAAGGAAGAATACTAAATAAAAATTTACATAATTGAGAAATAAATGCATTACCAATGGGGTATTTTTTTTTTTTTTGATAGGAATTGAAGGCCTCGTTAAAAACCTCCTCCTTGATTAAGAGAGCTTGTAGAAAAGCTCCTTAATCAGCGGAAGGAGGAAAAGAGTGCCTTAAGATTTCATAACCATAGGAAACATAAGATACAACCAGAAAAGCCTCCCCCAACATAAACAAACAACCCAAAACAGCCAGAAGAACCCTAAACAGCAACACTAACACAGCGAAATTCAACTAAGCTAAACCGACAATCACAAAAATGACTGACCAGAATTAACACCTTAACTACCCGAAAACCAGCACAAAAACAAAACAATTACAGCAGAAGCCGAATATCACAGCTGACTCAAACCATAAAATCCAAAATCAAAAACAAAAAGCCCTGAACTTCCACTCAACGAGTACAAGACTCTTCTTCCGCATTACTGCCTCTTCTAGCTCGACATGTCGACAAAGACCATCCAAAACTCCAACTATAGAGCCTTCAAGATCAGAAAAAATTCCCTCTCCATGCACCTTCCTCTGAGCCTTAACTACCCGAAAATCAACACAAAGAACATCAACAATTTTCCTTCACAATTCTAACCAAGGACTAACATTTCAAACGTAGAAAAGCGCAAACATAGCAACAATATGACCTGTAAATATGCAAAAAGCAACACTTAAACGAACGATGAGATCACAATTTCACCCACTTGTTACCAGCAATAATAACATGTGCATGAATTTTACACACACCTCACATATTATGAAGCTAACTTACTTAACACACCATTTCCTCCAAGACAACAAACCCAATTCCTCAATCTTAAGAATGTCAACAGTTTCATTCCTTTTCCACTTTATGCAACAACCTAAACCCTCAAATCATTTTTTTCCGAGATAAAAAGGACCAATTCAAAAGGACTCCAAATAGTCACGACAAACTAAATGAACTAACTTCAAAACATTATTTTCTACTGTCCTCAACGTTTCTTAGTCTTCACTCGTAATCAATGAAATAAAGAAAGAAAAAAATAAAACAAAAGAGAGAATAAAATTAAGTCGCATTGAATAACAAAAACTCGGAACCTAACGGTAACAAAAACAACTAGGACACTGATGAGTAAATTGAACTTCCCAGGTCTCCTGTCTCCATGGATCTAAAGCTACAAGATGCTCTAACGAGCTTTACAACGATCAATTTAACATTTTCGAATTCTATCACCCGGTAGCAGTTGAAAACCCTAGATTCCACGAACTTTGAAGGAACTGTCAACAAAAATCACAACCAGCAGGTGTAAAATAGAAAATATACCTCCCTAAAGAAAGTCTGCGAAGAAAAATTTGAATCTGAGACGAACATCAATCACAGCGCAAAATGACCCATTTGTCAAAAAGCACTTGACGAAATAGTGTTTTTTCGAGCGTTCTTTTGTTTACTTAGTTGACGTTCTAGTTGGCCCCATAAAAAATGAAAATAAATAAATAAATAAACTAACTTTACTTGTTAGCCCTAACACAATTTTTTTAAGTAAATTATTAAAGTTGTCATTTTTATTTATTTTTAGCCATCAATTTTTTTTTAAAAATAATGTTGTGGTCATTTGTGTTATTAATATATAAGTTTGATTATTGAACGTTACACATTAATAAAAGGAGTTCATTTTTAATTTAACTTGTAAATTTTATAAAATATTAATTTCATCCTTAAACTTTATATAAAATATCAATTTAACATTTAAATCTAATCAAAAAAAATTATTGTTAGTTATTACTCACTATTATTGTCGGTTACTATTAAGGATGTGTATGGGACCAGAATCTGACGTGGTTTGATTTGACCCGACTTGGTTGAGTTGGATTTTTTTAAAATTTTGGATTCGAGTAGAATTCAGATTTAGGGTGAAAAATATCCGATCCAACCCGACCAAAAAAATATAATTTGACCTTATATATTTAAAAATAATTACAATAATACTCCTTAATATATTATTATTGTAATTAAATCACTATTTTTATTGAATAAAATAATATTTTTAATATTTCAGGTTAGATCAAATCAAATACAGATTTTATCTCAAAAAATTAGATTGATTTCGAATCGGGTGGAGAATATATATTTTTTGAGTCAGATGAGATCATGTAAAGAATGTAAAATTTTCGAGTCAAACCAGATTACTCAAAAACCCGATCCATGCCCATCCCTAATTACTATTAGTCTTTTATCGCTAATAACTGTCGGATCTCAAAAATTTTAATTCTTTTTTATTTCAACGAAAAACATCTCAAATTTTACATATCTAACATATAACCTTTTTTAAATGGAAAATATTATATTTCTAGATAAATATCAATATTCAACCCGATTAAATAATAGTAACATTTTTGATCATTTGTTAATGAATTTCATCTAAAACCTTTTGACTTATTTAAAAAAATAAATTATAATAATATATTTATCATTGTAATTCTTTAAAAATAAATGTATCAAAGTATATCATAATGAAATTTACAATAAAAATTATATATAAAATTTTCCAACTTTCTTGTCTCAAAATTTTGACAAAAAATTTCCAAATCAAAGTAAATTACTATAATATTTTCATTTTTTTTTGTATTGTATGAAAATTGCGTAAACCATTATTTGAATTTATTTTATTTAACGTTTAACTTTTTTTAAGGAAAAATATAAAAAAAAATTACATAAAATTTTGATTATAGAGTTAAAACATAGAATAAATTGAAATTTTGATTAACGCAATTTCTAATTTTTTTTACCATTAAAGGATTAAGATTTCGTCTGTAAAAACTATTGGAATTGTTATATTTACAGCCTACTTACATTAAAAGAGTCAAAAACAATTTTCCATTTTTAAAAAAGAGAAAAAAGAAAAAAGGAATATTGGGCTTTAGTTTCTTAAGTCAACCACAATCACACTAATGTTGTCCCTGCTACCCCGAGCAATGCGACCTCAACCAACATTGCCGACGCAAGGCTTTCCCTCTTCATCATTCGGCTGTTTAAACACTGCCTTACCACTCGACAAGCCAATTCATTCGACACCACGTCCCACAGTCCATCACTCGCCAGCATCAGGAATTCATCGCCATCGGTGAGCTCCGTTACCACCACTTCCGGTTTGCATGTAACAAATGGTTTCAGGCACCCGTCACCTGCATACGCCATTCAACATTTTACACAAAACGCATCGTTTCCATTTTTTTAATACAAAAGAAATTGAAAGCTAAGAATTTAAGCAAATATTCGAGATTTATATTCAAATTATAATTTGCAATCATTTAATAATTAAAAATATTTATATAAATATTTACCTATGGATCTTGACGTGGCAAGTACTCCAAGCACACGATATCCATTTTAATTTATGACCCTTCCGCCAGCGGTTTCAACTCTCTCTAACTCGTCCGGCCTATCGGGCTTCAATATGTATTAAACACCATAATTAATTTAATCTTAATTTTAAATAAATTAATAAATTATAGATAACTTAAAACCTTGTTTTAAAAATGCTTTAATAAATATAGAATGCTGAATAAAGTCACCTTATGATCAAAGGATAAGGCCACAGCAACACCACCCCTTGATATGACGGCTCTAGAATCCCCACAGTTCGCCACTACTAACTTTCCGTTACCAACCACCGCCACAACCGCCGTAGACCCCATCATCTCCTCCCCCGACGTCCTTCTGTTCACCTCTTCATCCATCTTTTCAAAGCATTTCTCCATCGTTCCTTCCCAATTAATCCCGCATTCTTCCTTATTATTATTACCATCCTCTACTATTTCCTCCGTCAGCACTTTATGCAACCTTTCCTTACACTTCTCCGCCACCCTTGATCCGCCGTGTCCGTCGTAGACTCCAAAGAAATCGAACTTTACACCTCCTTTCATCATAAAACCTAATTCCGCTTTCACCGCATCTTCCATCTCTGCTCTCCTACCAATAACTGATAATATCCCGTAGGTCGACGTTTTACGCGTTGAAATCTGAACATCGTCGTTTTTATCGCGAGTTTTCTCGACAAAACCGGATGAAACAACGTCGTTCTCTGAAAGCGAAATCTCCATTAAGTCATCGTTTGGTTTTGATTCGTGAAGAAGACTGTTGCCGTTACTATTACCGTTGCTGCCGTTTTCCGTGATGGTTAAATTCATTATCGTCTGACACGTGTACTTCAACCTTCTCCGGCGCGCATTATTGGTTCTGATCATTGTAAGTCTGCCGTGATCTGACGTCATTTTCCGTGGGATATTTGATTGATGGAGACTGAAGAATCAATCTCTCTTTTCAATTATTTATTTTTCCTGTAATAAAATCAAAAGGCTAAGCAACGACTGGCCAGATAACTTATATAAATACCAACATATATATAGGGCAGAGAGAAATAAAGCGATAAATGTGGGCCGTTGATTTTCGTCGAATGAGATGGCCACATGGACTTCATCTGCCACCGACGGAGATTTTGGAAGGGGAGATGTGACGGCTACTGATTTGATAAAAAAGATCACATGAAGCTTCGATCTAGCGTCTAGAGACCAGGGTAGGTAGAGGGCCCCACTAGTGATCCTTCAAATCGTATTACGCGGCGCCTCGCACTGTTGTTTTAAAGCGCTTAGATAATAACATGTGTTTTTATCTGACAAGCGAATGTCAAGACATAGACGGACCTGATAGATTGGTGGAACACGTGTTGGGTTATGCTCCGTCGCGTGTAGGATTTGAAACTCTTACAGTTATTCCCGATTTCGCCGTTCTTCGTGTCTGAATCTTCAGCCACGTCAATACTCAATCTAAACGGAATAGGCTGATTTTGATTATACCAACAGTTGTAGAAATGGTCGTGGACGTCATAGTTGACTTGTAATGCAGACTGCAATTCAAAATCAAAATGAGTTACCATTCGTCTAATCCAAAGCTGTTTTCTGTGACAGCAAGAAACCATGTCTTCTAGACACGTCGATGTTTGTGACTTCAACAAAGAAGCCTTGGACTTTTGTAACTCTTCTAGCACGTATTCTTTCTTCTTCACTTACTCCTTTGTTTTTTGGTGTCTTCCTCCATGGCAGTCGTGGAAGAAAAACCGACGACTCTCACGATTAAATTACGAAGAGGATGAAGATCAACATATTGTAGGAGGTCTTCGATGGAAATCTTAAATGTCGATGTTTTATTGATAAAACTGGAGGCTCGTATTTTAGACCAGGTCGAGCTTAAACAAACAAATATAGTTCGAGGGAAGGTTTTTGCCCCCCCCCCCAATAGTGCCACATACAGTTGAGCTCCCCAATCGTGGTCGCCTGACTCATATGCCACGTGAATGCAATTGGGTGGCCGACGTTATGGCAAAATTAGTATGGAATTGTTTTTTGGTATACACATTTTCCGTGAAACGCTTCCCAATATAAATCTTGTTTTCTATGATGATACTTGGGATGGGATAGTTGAGCTGGTGGCGATCATCGTCTCTTAACGTACGTATTCCTTTATCTTCATTCAAGAGAAACCTCATTCATAATTTTAGTACGAACCTTGCTTATAAATAATTTTATTCTATATTAACTAGTTTGGGAATGATTCTAATAATGAAAAGTGGTTTTCCACTTAGAAGCAGTACCAAAACACCTAAAATTGATTTAAAATCATGGTTGAAAAAATATTTTTTAACCTATTTCATAAGCTCATATTTTTAGCTTATGCCGTGAAAAATTATTTTTGGACGAAATTATATTTTTATTCTCAAATATTATATTTTTAATTTACAACATATGGTTTAAAATTGACATTTTATCTTTTTAAAATAATATTTTTATAGTAATCTCAAACAATTAAATTTTAAATTATTTTTTAAAAAAATACTTTTAAAAAAACATTTTTAGAACACTTTTAAATTCATTTTTAAAATACTACTTATACATCTCAAGATGGCATAAATTATTTTAAAAAACTACTTATGCTTTTAAAAACATCTTTATATCTTAAATAATTTTTTTTATAAATTATTTAAAAAAAACTAATGTCTTTATCGTTAGACTAGTAGCATATGAGGTTATGAAAACTACTTATACGACTCAAGATGGGATAAATAAAAATATTTAGGTGTTGTTTTGTAAATTGAAAGATTATATATTGAAAAATTAAAAGTTGATAAGTATTAAATTTAAGCTCTGAAATTTATTTGGCATATTATTTAAAATAAATTCTAAAAACAACGCGTGTATATAATAAATATAAATTTTAAATAACAATTAGTCTTGGTATTAAATAAAAGAAAGTAAATTTTATTGAATGCATTGTACTTTAAATGATAAGTAAAACCTTATCTATTTATCAATTTCTACATTTTTATTCATATAAAAATTATATAAATGATTTTTATTTTAAATTGTTAAATATATTTCAAAAATTAAATCAATTGAAAAAATTAAATTGTCAATTAATTTAATATTCAAAATATTATTAAATAAGGACTTAATCCTATGCAAATTTATTTTTTAAATTCATCATATGAAAAAAAATTAACAGGTTAATTCTGAGAAAATTTAAAATAAAATTTTTATTTACATAGATGGTATAAATTAAAAACCAATCGGATATAGAATTAAAAGGGTAAAATGGTAAAAAGGAAGAAATAAAGAGGAGGGCCCAACCGGGTTCGAACCGGTGACCTCTTGATCTGCAGTCAAATGCTCCACCACTGAGCTATAGACCCCCTGACAGTAGGGGTAGAAATATATATTTTTAAAGCTATTAAAGAATCAATAGAACTCACCACAAGCAGACAGCTGAAGTGTCCCAATCCCTAATTCAACACAATTGATTTAAAGCTTTTAGTCTTACGCGTGGAAAAACATAACGGAACTTTTCTTTTTACCCGTTTCTGTAGTCTAAATTAATATTATTTTAAGTTATGAGCAATATTGACAATGAAAAAGTATTTTCTTTAAAGACTTTCGAATTTTAGTAATTATTTTTATAAGATATATATATATATATATTATGAATGATTAAGAAAAAATATAAATATAAATATTATATTATCCAATTGGTCTTAATACGCACACATCTAAATCCTGTATAAATCTAAGAAAATATAGTTTTATATGATGTAACTCTACTCACTACTTAATAATTACTCTAAATTATTTAAAAACAAATATGTATATTGTTGACGAAAACGGGTAAAGAAAACAAAAGAACACGAGAATTTTACGAGGTTCGGCAATGTGCTTACGTCCTCGGTGCCTAGGCGGCGCTAGAAGTTTTATTCAATGATATTTTAGGTCTAGGTTACATCTCTATTTATAATAGAAAACCCTGGTACATAATTACAAAATCAACCTTGTACCGTACCGCGGGGGCTGCGCCCCCACACCCCCAACCCACATAATTCGTAACCCCACAACAAGACTTTTTATGAGCCATACATAACAAATCTCCACCTTGGCGAATATTCTGCCCCTTGGAAACTTCAATGTGGGTTGGGTTACCTTGCTTCTTTAACAACTCGAAACATTCAACAAGTCCAAGCAATGCTTGAACTTGTCTGTCGTAACTGGCTTGGTGAACATATCAGCGGCATTCTCATCAGTATCTACCTTCTGAAACAAAACCTCTCCAGATGCAACCAACTCTCTGATCTTGTGGAACCTTACATCAATATGTTTAGTTCTAGCACGATACACCTGATTCTTAGCCAAGTGAATAGCACTTTGATTATCACAAAGCAACTGAACTCCACCTTGTTGAACACCCAACTCCTTCACTAAACCAGTAAGCCATAAAGCTTCTTTTGCAGCTTCAGTCGCTGCCATGTATTCAGCTTCAGTTGTAGATAGTGCCACGACAGATTGAACAGTAGACTTCCAGCAAATAGGCCCTCCACCAAGAGTAAACACATACCCTGTCGTAGATATTCTATTATCCAAGTCACCTGCATAATCTGAATCCACATATCCTACAACCAAAGGATTATCCCGCTGACTCCCAAAAACAATTCCATGTCCCACAGTACCCTTTAAGTACCGAAAGATCCACTTGACTGCATCCCAATGTTGCTTACCAGGTTTAGACATGTACTTACAAACTTGACTAACAGCATGAGCTAAATCAGGACGAGTACATACCATCGCATACATCAAGCAGCCAACAACATTAGAATACGGAACCTTTGCCATATTTTCAGCTTCCTTATCTGTCTTAGGGCACTGTTCTGATGAGAGCTTAAATTGATTCGCCAATAGAGTGCTAACTGGTTTCGCGCTGCTCATCGCAAACCTTTCTAGCATTTTCTCAACATAACCCCGTTGAGATAGCCGCAGTTTCCTTGAGTCTCTGTCCCTGCAAATTTCCATTCCAAGAATTTTCTTTGCAGCACCTAAATCTTTCATATCAAATTCCTGACTCAATAAAGTTTTCAAACCGATAACATCATCCATGTTCTTCGCAGCAATCAGCATATCATCAACATACAGTAATAGAAAAATAAAAGAACCATCATCAAGGCTCTTAACATAGACACAACAATCATACTCACATCGGTTGTAGCCAATCTTGATCATATAGGAGTCAAACTGTTTATACCACTGTCTCGGAGACTGTTTCAACCCGTACAAAGATTTCTTCAATCTGCAAACTAAATGCTCGTTTCCAGGTTGAGTGAAACCTTCAGGTTGCCGCATGTAGATCTGCTCCTCTAAATCACCATGCAAAAAAGCATTTTTAACATCCATCTGCTCTAAATGCAAATCCCAACTAGCCACCAATGCAAGTACTGCTCGGATTGAAGTGTGCCTGACCACAGGAGAAAAGATTTCATCATAATCAACTCCTTTCTGCTGTGAAAAACCCTTCGCTACCAAACGAGCCTTGAACTTCTCCCCCTCTTTTTCTGTTACTACTGGTTTCTTCTTATACACCCATTTGCAACCAATCAGCTTCTTACCCTCAGGAAGGGGAACTAACTCCCATGTGCGATTGTGATTCAAAGACTCCATCTCCTCAACCATGGCTGCCATCCACTTGTCGTTTTCCTGACTAGTAACGGCATCATGAAAAGTAACCGGATCATCACTGCTAACAATAAGTGCAAAAGATACCAAGTCTTCAAAACCCAATCTGTTCGGAGGCTTTATATTCGTCCGTCTCACCCTGTCTCTGGCGAGACTATAATCCTGCAAATCATCCGTAGTGGAACCACCAGAAGTCGGTTGAGAAGTTTCTGGTTTCTCAACTGGAAACTGCTCGAAATCCACCA